AACTCTGAACCCTAAAGCCCTGAACCCCATAATTTAGGATTTTGGGTTTAGGGTTTAGGGTTTAGGGTTTAGGGTTTAGGGTTCCCTTCTAGAAACCCTAAACCCTAAAGCCCTGAACCCCTTGAGCCTTCTAAAAACCCTAAACCCCTGAACCCCTAAACCCCTGAGGCCCTAAACCCTTTTTAGGAACCCTGTACCCTGAAGCCCTGAACCCCTTAACCGCTTTGAGCAACCCTATACCGCCTCGGTCTCTCGCATCTTCTCAAGAATCTCTTCCACGGCAGCCAACCGCTCCGAGGCCTCTCGTCGAGGACGGGTGCTCTAGGGTTTCGGCTTTAGGGCTTATAGGGTTTAGGGTTTAGGGTTTTTTTGGTCAGGGTTTGGGGTAGGGTTTAGGGAAGGGGGTTTAGGGTTTAGGGTAGGGTTTAGGGTTTAGGCTTTATGGTTCCCCAACGTTTAGGGTTTATTTAGGGTAGTAACACAAAAAGACGTTATACTGTTGATGATATAACACCTGCATTGCCTTAAGGACCCTAAACTATGGAATTAGGATATACTCCTTATTATTGGTAATGCAGGATTTCAACAACCGCAACAAGCCTTTGTAAGCGCCCTATCAAACCAAATGACTTCCTCGACACGCAACCGATACTATAGCGTTTTACTAATCAGCCCTGAACCCCAAACCATTATAGAAAAAAACATCGAATCCTGAACAATAAGCCTTAAAGGAACCCTTACAGAACCCCTTAAAGGACCCCTTACCGAACCCCTTAAAGAAACCCTTAAAAGGCCTTAAAGGCATCCTCAAAGCTTCAAAAGCGACCCTTGAAAGACCTCCTATAAACCCTATAAGCCCTCAACCTCCTTAAAGGGGACCCTCCTTAAAGGGAGAACCCTATAAACCCTAAACCCTGAACCCTATAAACCTAAAACCCTATAAACCCTAAACCCTATACCCTCAACCTCCTTACAGGAGACCTCCTTCAATAGAACCCTTTTAAAGGGAACCTAGGAGGTCCCGCTGGCACCTGCTTCAGCAGCGGCAGCGCCGAGGCCCTGCTCTGAGCCTCGTCGATGGTCTGCTGGGCCTGGGGCTCTGAAGGTAGGGGTCTAGGGCTTTGGGTTTAGGGTCCAGAGTTTCTTAAGCTAGGGTTTAGGGATTTGGGTTGAGGGTTTAGGGTTTGGGGTTCAGGGTTTAGGATTTAGGGTTTAGGGGTTTAGGTTTGTGTCTTCCTCTGTTTCCTGGGCTCCGAAAAAGGCTTCCTTGGATGGTACTATATAAGGCGTGCTGCGTGCGTTTAATGCGTGTTTGTTTAAAGATTATAATAATCGTGTTTTTGGCTTGGGGTTCTCATTGAAGGCTTGAGGCTAATCTAACATGTTCACGGCTAAAGACTGTTATGCTTCGATCTCGTGGGCCAAGTTCGTCACGTTGTCCCTGAACCCTAAGAGCGAATGTAGGGGCCTTAATAATTAGAATAGGGTTTGGGGTATATTATACCAAAAATTATGATATAAGGAACCACCAAAATCCTGTTTTAATTATAAAGGCCTCAACCCTAAGTTCGTTTTATTGTTGTGCTTTCGCCGCCTCTTGGAGCTCAGCAAGCTGATGGAATCCCTAAGGTTCCAAGGGAGCCAACAGGTACTTGGGATACGGATAGTAGTGTCAAGTTTCGTAGGTTAATATTGGGAAGAGTATACGATTGTGAGGCACCTGGACCCTCGGAGCAAGGACTTCATGGAGGAGTGTCGTTCAGGAGTGTCGTTGTTTGGCAAGAACAAAAACAACGGCTCCGCCTTGGCCTTCGCCTATTACAGAAGCCGGCTTGTGGAAAGCGACATCCCGCAGGACTTTCACCGCACTCGTAAAGAGGTCGACTCGAGTCGCGCTGGCGAGCTTCCTTCCCGTCAGTCTCGCCTTTCCTTGGCGTTCGAAGTGCGCGAGGTTCCCCTCAAAGTCTTCGAACGGGCACTCGTTGCTGTCGAGCAGCACCAGCTGAAACCTAGGAGAGCCCATGTCATCCTGAAGAGGGCACGCCCCTATGTTTTTGCGACCAAGGTCGCGAATTTGCAAAAGAATGGCGGCCATGGTTACAGTAAACAAGGCCATGTGCCTCTGGTCTTGGAAGACACGTGGCCCACCTGCCCGCTTTGCGCCAAGGGATACTCTGATCTTCTTGGGAGAGGATGCTGATATAGGGGCCTTAATCTCTCTTCGTCAATAACCGGGTCCAAAAAAGTTTGAACTTTCTAATATAGACGAGATATATAAGGCCAAAAAGTTTAAAGTTCTAACCAAGCCCTGGCCAGCCCTAGTAATGTAGGGGCCTTAATCATTAGAATAGAGTTTGGGGCTCCTTTATAGTATATTTATAGTAAGGAACCCTAACAATAATGTTGGTAATTGCTTAGGCTTCTATATTATAGCAAAAACGATCAACAAATCTGTAGTTGATCAAAGCTTTTAGAGTTTTAGAGCCTGGCAGAACTCTGTAAAACCTAGAACACCCTACATGTACTCTAAACCTTGAACAGAAGAGACCCCTTCTGCAACGCTACATGGTATAAACGTTTAAGCAACAACTTTTCAGACACCTGTAAAAAGCCACGCTATGTAAACCAAAAAGAACGAAAGATCAACCCCAAACCCTATAAGCCCTAAACCCTGAACCCTAAACTCTAACCTTGATCCCCGAAACCCTGAACCCTAAACTCCTAAAAGCAACCCCTGAAAAGGACGCTTTATAGAACCGAGGTAAGGAACCCTAAACCCTAAACCCCTAAACCCTAAACCCTATAAAGCTTGTTCTTCCAGGACGCCTTGTCGAGCTGGGCTTGGCAGGACTCGGCTCGAGCCTGGCGTTTCAGGGTATTTAGGGTTTAGGGTTTTGGGGTTTAGGGTTTAGGGTTTTGGGGTTTAAGGTTTAGGTTTAGAGTTTGGGTTAAGGGGTTTAGGGTTTAGGTTTCAGGGTTTCGGGGCTTAGGGTGTAGGGTTTAGATTTAGGAGTTCAGGGTTTTGGGGTTTTGGGTTCATTTTGTTTCTGGTTCTTGGATCTTTTGTCGTTGAGGGTTCAGGGTTCAGGGTTTAGGGCTTAGGGTTCAGAGTGTTTTTGTTCAGGGTTTAGGGTTCAGAGGTCAGGATTTAGGGTGTACTGCTTCTCCGTGCGTGTGTGTGTGTGTGTGTGTTTGCTTTTAGATGTTCGAGGGTTTGAAGAAGGCAGTTTTTTTTTTTTTTACGGGCTCTTTAGGATTCGATCGTTTGTGCTTTGTTTGGGGGGGTTGATTGGATTCATGTCATGCTACAGGGGCTTGGGCTTAGGGCTTAGTATTTAGATTCTGGGGTCTGCAGGTGGTGTGAGCGTTTAGAGATGTCTAGGGTTTAAGATAAGGCCTCAACTCTAAAGACCGCGGTTCGTTCGGCTAGGTTTAATCATTGGACCATCGCCAAATTCCAAACATGCCAATGGCGTCATGGCTCCATGGGCACTTCCGTGGTACAGGAAACCTAAGCCCTGAAGGCCTGTTTGGGACCCTTTATAACCGGAACCACCCTAAACCCTCTAAACCCTAAACCCCTACCAAACTTCAAAAGAACCTAAACCCAACCCTAAACCCCTAGGAAGCTTTGAAGGAACCCTTAAACCCTAAACCCTTGGGAAACCTTATACCTCGGAAACTTTAAAGGAACCGTAAACCCTAAACCCTGAACCCTTAAAGGAACCCTAAATCCTTAAAGGAACCTTTAAAGGAACCCGACGCCCACCTGAAGCTCCGTCATCTTCTCCAGCATGAGCCCTCTCAAGCCAGAGGCCTTGGAGAAAGCTTAGCAAATGGTTTATAGAGGGTTTAGGGTTTAGGGCTTCTTTAAAGTTTCCTAGGGGTATAGGGCTTAGGGCTTAGGGTTTGTAGGTGTTAGGGTTTATAGCGTTTTGGATTAAGGGCTTCTAGGGTTTAGGGTTTAGGGTTTAGCGCCCCAAGTACCCGTTAATATACCCTAATTACCCACCATAAAAGGACCAGAAGGGATCCATCAAAGGGTACTGGGGGGTGCTGGAAGGGTTTAGGATTAGGGTTGTTGAGCTAGGGTGTAGGGCTTAGGGTTTAGGGTTGAGGGTTTAGGGGTTTAGGATTTAAGGGGCTTCGAATTTAGGGTCTAGAGTCAGGGCTTACAGGTTTAGGTGGTTCAGTGTTTAGGGTTCGTAAGCCTTCAGTCCTACAGGGTTCCGAATTGTTTAGGGTTTCGGGCGCACTGGTTCACGAGTGAACGCTTAGATTAGGTGTTTGCTGTATTCTCCTTGTGTCTATCAATAATGAAGTGTCTCTATCGGGTCGTTATGTCTGCTGTACTTCTGAATGGGCCCTTCTGCGTCCATATCGTTTTGTGCTTTTGTCCATACCCTTCAGGGTTCATATGCCCAAATTACTTTGGCCCTAGAGTACCTAAATAGAGATCACTTTAAGGCCAAAGTATATACTGTTTGGGCACATGGACCCTTAGGGTAAAGGCTTGTGGGTGCTTCAAGCTTTGGCGTCCATTGGTTTTGTTTAACATGGCTTCTAGATGGCTCGTATAAACAATTCTGCACTGTTTTTGTGGGGTTTACAAGGGGTAGAGACTGTAAATTGCAAAGATATGTGTCATTCCAGGTCTCAGAGGGTTGGGAACTTTTTAAACCAGCGGGTTTTCGAGTTTCGGTCTCAGGAGGGGCTGATATAAGAGAAACGCGAACTTTAACTTGGGCGCTTCAGAGGTGCAGGAAGCAACAGGATCAGAAACAGAGGTTTCGGTTCAGAGCTTACGCCGTTGCTGGTCTTCAGGTTAACGGATCAGGACCAACCTAGTTGGAGGTTCATTGGACCTAGTAAGTACAGTTGCAAGTACCGTAACCTCAACTATAGCTCATGATCAGTATTCATACCGGGAGTATTTATAACCGTAGTTACTGATTCCTATGAACCTTCAAGTAGACCCTAAACCCTAAACCCTGAAGGACCCCTTACCGTGAACCCTATGTTATACGACTTCATAGCACCGTTAAAAGGAACCCCTACCCCCAGTTACTAAGTCGCGTGAACCTTCGGAAGCGACTTCGGGCATGGGGTTGATTGATTGAGGGCTTTAGGTGCAGGGGTTCGGGCTCAGGGGTTTTAGGGTTCAGGGCTTTGAGTGTAGGGTTCGGATTAGCTGGAAGTGGGGGCTTTCAACGCCTACCCTTAGAAGGTAAGCACGCAATCTATGTTTGGAGATCCCTCATGTAGCTCGCTAGGGATCCTCCTACTACGGCCCGAAGGGA